TTAAATGGGCAATGTAAAATTTGTAAGTTCATATGCTTAAAATATGACTTTCTTTCAAATTATCACATTTGTAACAAAAGATGTGATAGTTCAATGCATTCTTCTAAATTACCACTTCCAACAATAGATGGATTTAAACAGTTAGTTGGGTTTGCTTTGAATTTCTGAACTTTTAACGTATATAGTTGGAATCATTAACTTAAAAGTTGTATTTGAGCTATTCCGATACTGAATAAAGCACACAGCTGAGTTAATTTCTCACCAGGTATTTTATCAGCTACAGTCTCAAGCATAATAAGAAAGAACACCATGAATGTCACAGGTGATGTGATTAATAGTTGAGAAATATAACAGTTCACATTTCTATTTTTCTTTAAAACTAATTCTCTGAATATTTTATGTAGTTGCTCTGTAATTTCAGCTTTCAGTAATTTAATTAAGTAATGACTCACTTCAGAGCATTTTGAATGGGATAATAGAAGCCTGTGGACAGTACAGGATTAGTAGAAGCCAGCAGTTTTTTGTCTTCAGTTTCATAATTCATTGGATTTTAAATGGACTTGTGGGTTCATTTTCCTGACTGGCATAATCTACAGATGATCCATGTGGGTACTTCCAACTCGGCATATTCTGTGATTCTGTGAAGTCAGCTGAAGAAGGTTCATGAACTACATCTGTAACTGGGTGACAGGCAGATTTGAAAGACACAGGAGAGGATGAAGGTAAGTAGTACAGGGTTGGAAATTACTTGATGATTTCTTTGTATTCCAAACCATTAGGATAAAACTGGAAACAGTTTTAACCCCATAGATATTTGGTCCCATTTTTAGTATCTCTCCTCTTTGCCACAAGCCCAATTTATTTTTTTTTTCCCATTGCCACTAGGTAAAATTTCTTTGCATTGAGATAGTTTAAAATAAAAAAAAATAAAAATAATTTTAAAAAGGAGGAATATAGTGCAGTTTAGTAATTGCAGCTGTGTGACTTCCAAAGCTACATCTGTCATAGAAAAAAGGCTCTATCAGCTTTGTATCCACAGCATGACTTTTACCACTCAGTTGCATCGCATGTGAAGAAGCATGTAATTTAATATTTATTATTCACTATTCATTATTCGTTATTTTAAATCTGTTAACTAAAACCTCATTTAATAGTTCCTAGTTTTTTTCTTTTTACTTTTCTATTGTGAAAAATAATAATAGTAATTTTCTGTTTATTTCCCACATGACAGTTCTGATTTTGTAATTTTTTACTTATTAAATATTGTTTCCATCAGTCATTTCTTTTCCATATTGAAGAGTCCTAACTTTTAAAAGCTCCTGAGAGTTATGCTGTTCCATAACTGTGGACATTGTTCTTGTGTGCTTTCTCTGCTTTTCCTAAGGCACCAGATTGTTTTACTGAATAGTTGAAATGTGGAATCACTGTGGGTTTTTTGAAATAGCATAATGATATTTTCTAATTTTTTTTCTCTTATTGCCTAATAAATTTTAATACCAGCTTTATTTGAGTTGGTTTTGATGACTACCTAGTAGATATTTAGCTAGAAACAGCAACTCAAAATAACCTCCCTGTGTAATAACAATTTAGTCTGAGCTCATGATGCAGGTGCATTATGGTAGGTTTTGCCTTTGCTCATTACCTTGCATTTTTTTCTGTTTCAACCACAATTGAAGTTCACACAGTAACTATCCATTGACTGCTTTGCAAGTATTCACAGTTTGCTTTTCTAGATTATCTTTGGCTCTATCAAAAATTCCAATCCTAATATAATGTCTAATAATATTCTTTACATCGAGAAGCCTTACAAAGTATCCCTGTAGTTTGTTTCCTGTTCTTAAATCAGTCTTTAAGATCTTGTCATTCTATTATGGGTTTGATGAAAGACTTTATCAAAATCTTATTGGAAACCCAAGTGACTAAATCATATTATCCTTATTCAAAGGTTTGTCGACACGTTCAAGAAAATCTAGTAGTTTAGCCTTCTATATAAACTAGGTTTACCTTTCCCTCATATATCCTATGAATTGCTGTGTCCAGTTGATTTTGCTCTTTGGGACAGTTTCTAGACACCTTTTTAAGGATATTTTCAAAATAGAATGGGTAGGTTTTGGACTTTTCCAACGCTTTCACCCCACATTCCTAAAGTACTTAAAAAACGGATTTTGAAAGCTGAACATTAAAACTGAGGTTCTAAATCACTTAGTTTTAAGGTTCCAGGTTATTTGTAGAAATTACAACTTGGAAACTTCAGCACCGTTTGTTTCAGCATCTTCTGTTTAGAGTACATTGTTATATGGAGAAAATTGATATATGTAACAGCTGGGACTAATTAGTTACAAGCAAAAAAATATCAGCAAGTTCCTTGTTAATAGGCATATATGGGGGTGATTTCTTAAGGACAGATAGGGAATCAATGACAGAGACAGGAAAAGTATATTTGTAGATGCATCAGCATTTCTTTTTCATGAAACAGAATTTCATCTTTAGTATACTAAGCTCAAGGACCAAGTTTTCCTCTACTGTATTGTTCTTACTAACAGAATCTTTGGCCTTGATTCAATATCACTGTATACACAAAGAACTTTCTTATCACTAAGTGAACTATGGTTTTATGTCCATTATTACTGGATCCTATATGGTTATTCTCTTTCCTGTGTGTATTGAGAAGTTATCCTTTATCAATTACAAAAAAGGTGAAACAAGAAATTTTGCCCACCCACAATTTTTCCATTGTAAATAACCAGAAATATCAAATCATCCAGAAGCATCAAGTTATTTATTCCACATTCTCAGAAATGTTTCAGTCTTATCTTCCCCTTAGTTAAGCTGTCTCTTGGAGTTCAATTAAAAAATATCATCAATTTTATTTTTATTCATATTGTTTCTGTCAACAGCTGGATGAAAATTTTTCTCAGCCTCTTGTAGATGTTAAGGTTCCTGAGGGAGCAAATTTCATCTGGTGTTTATTCAGCAGCAAGAGTTTCAGGTCCTTATAATCCAGAAATTCTTTAGTTCCACTGCAATTTGGGAACAAGACTGTTGACATAGCAAGGGTGGAAGCTGGAACTGGAATGTTGTGCTGAACACAGCCACAGTGCTATTATTTAAAAATTGGATAGATCTGTTACATTACTTGTCAAATCCTCAAAGTAAAACAAGAGACCCAGAATACAATTAGGAGCAGAGAGGAATACAGTGATTATACTGACTGACTGTTTCTTTGGCACTGCCATCATGCAGGTTTTTCTGTACTAACACTGAAGTGAGATTAGAAACAAATTTCCTGTAAAGAAGCAGTCATTTAGTGGTAATCATGTTTGCATTTCTCATTTCCATTTCAAATATGAGCTAGTGACCTTGAATTGAAATTCTCAGTGTTTCATATTAATTTTTTGAACCAAGTTAATTTACCATCATACTTTTATTAAAAAGTCTGTCAAGAATGGGTTACTCCTTAGCAATACCAAGGATCATGCAGACTGCACCACTAACAAGAACTGCACAAGGTGCAAAAATACAGATCGACCATCACAACCACTCACATTCAGGATGAATCCTTTGAAGTTGTGATAATGTCTGTCATAAAACACCATGAAAACAAGGAAAAGCTTTTCACATTCAGAGGACAAAAGCTTTCTTTTCCACAGTAACAAATCATAGCAACATCTTCTTGGATGTCAGAATCAGGTAGAACTCTACAAGACACCAAGTAGTCTTTCCACTCACTTGAATTAGGATGTTTCTATCATCTGACCAATTTTCTCAAAAGATGTTTTTTCCTTCCAAAATATAACTTGGGAAGAGACTATCTGAGTTCAAGTCTAAACTGTTGTCCAAAGTAACTTACTTTTCAATTGACACACTGCATCGTTCTCTGTACACATTAAAACTATTGTCTCACTCATAAGGCAGTTGAGAATCTGGGGTGGAAGCCAAACACTAAGCTAGCCAAAGACTTTGCCCCTTTTCACTTTGTCCTTTAAGGGATAAAGTTTAGACAGTAAGATGAACATATCATAAGGTGCACTTGTGCATTTATGATTTGTGTTTTGTGTTATGTCTATATCCTTTGGATTTTTTTTCCATACAAGTCAAAGTGTGAACAATGAAATCATATTAAACTCACCTAACCTTAAATTTGGTTAGATGTGAAAGAGCTAGAAGACAGCAGAGGTTTTGTTATGTACCTCATGACCACAAACTTTCTCCAATGCCTTGTGAGCTCTGATGATATTTTGTGTGGACACAAATCAGGCAAAAATTAATAGATTCCTGCAAGTAGACACATAACCATTTTGACCTGCAGGCATCTGGGTACCTATGGTCACTGTTCTTGCAGTGTATAAACTTTATCAGAAAAATTAAAATTTTGTTCCAGAAGTAAGTTGTAGCAGTTTTTCATTAGAAAAGTACAGTCCAAAACTTCCTGCAAAACAAACTAAATATTTTCAAAATCCATATGTCTAATTAGCAAGCCTAAAATCTAGGCATAACGATGGGAATCTGTGTGTATGACTAATTCAGCAATGTGGGTTATTTACCATATCAGCAATAGACATTAGCATTAGCTGAATAGTATAAAGAAACACTGTGAAAAATAAATAAATAACTTTTAATTATGTTCCATTTTCCACTGTATTTTTTCTGAATTTCCTAATCTATCCCCCTTATATGTCACATATAACTTAAGTTTTTATTACCTTTAAGGGTAATAGTCATAAAATATTGCAATATTAATTCATAAAATTTACAATAATAATCAGAATACCTTAATTAAAAATCTGTCCTCTATCACTATGGATTTTGTTGTATTCTCTGATCATTTCACCAGTAATCGTATCTGTCCTGTGATATTTGTTGTCACTCTATTAGCCTTCCATTGCTGTTCATACTTCCTATAATTCCCTTTCCTGCCTTACAAGCCTTTGATTTGTAACACTGAAATCAGAAATCTTGCCTTTTAAGTAAAAATTCCTTAGGCAAATAATGTAATTTTCTATGTGACATAGGACACTAAGGTCTTGGCCAATATAAATACTTAAAACCAGCAAGATTATTTAAGTTATTATAGAAGGTGAATTTTGTATTACTGTGCTTGGAAAAAAGAAATTCAGTCGTGATAAAGTCCAATTTCAATGTTTGCCCAAGAGTACAAAAATGAAGATTAGTACATTTGGCATCAGATTCCACTGATAAGTATTTCCACTTTTTCAGAGAGATGAAGTTTTATTCCTAGATTCCTCTGACATTCTTAACATAAATTATCATACTGCAGTGTTTCAAGCATCCAGCACAAAAAGGGAGCCCGTGGGGGTAGAAAAGAAAGAAAAAAATTAAACAATAAAGGAGGATATAAAGTGAAGAATGTATAACTCATGTTTTCAGGATCCCTCAGTCCCACAGAGCCTGACAGAAAACAAGAATGTTGTTTTATGTAAAAATACTCATTAAGCAATCAGTAAAAAGTCATTGAAACTTCTAGTGTGGGATTATGATAAAGAAATAGTTGAACTGGGAGATCCCTATCTAACATCCTGCTCTGAAGTCAATCTTGCACATCCATTGTAAAGTGCTTTGATCAGCTGGTTATTGATTAGTCCTTGCAGATTTTGATTAGAAAGTTCTATCCTGGACTTGGTCAAAGAACTGTCCTTTTCCATCAAATAAAACAAAAGTGACCTCCTAATTTTTTGAAGAAATTAAAAGAAGTAAATTTGTCAAAAAAATTTAGTGAGTCTTACTGAAACAGTAAATACTACTGCAAAAATCTTGATAAAGATACATGAAATTTTCATTCGGAAAAAAACACAACATGAAGTGAGCACTAGTGGGCTTTTTTGTTTTCATTTTTAAATAACACTACAAAGGATGGAATATGCTTATTAGTTGGTAGTTTCAGATATGCTTAAAGAGTCTGAGCTTCTATTCCACATACAAGCTTTGAGAGGTTTACTTTACATTTCATTTCCTTCTCTCAGAAAATCACATGCTATATTTGCACTTATATAACTCAATTAGTCAACACTTAAAGTATATTTTGGAATCCTACATTGAAAAAATTATTATGAAAACAAGTAAGAAAGAAAAATAACATTATTTTTGTTATTGTTACCAACATCATATGCAAGTGATTTGTTTTTCAGAGCTGATAACCCAATTTGTTTCATAAAGAAAGACGTTTTCAAGTTTTGTCCTTTTTCATAACTACAGCAGCTAGAGATTAAAAAGATTATGATCTCTCAATCATTCTCCTTCATGTTTACCACTTCCCAGTTGAAAATTTACGTAGCACAAAGCATTGAGACTAACTGGAAAATACAAGTTTGACAAAAAAAAAGTTCAAGGAGTTTGTACATAGTACAGATTAGGAGCTGTGTTTACTTCTTTTTGAGAAATTCACATGTGGTCTATACGACAATCAGGATGTGTATATTTTCATATAACTTTACACTTGTAGCATAGTTTACATCAATAGACCTACACTAACAAAAAAAATAGTTTGCTTAATAAGAGTGAGCTTTGCTTGACTTTTGCCCAGCCCAAATTTGGTAATAAAACTACTTGTTAGATGTGTGTGCTTGATTTCAAAACAGGGCTGAATTTTAATTGTAGCTGCTTTGTCCCCAGTTCAATTCCAGAAGATAGAGGAAAGAATTGCTTTTATACATGAAATATGGATATTAATTCAGATATAAATAAACAATGTATAATCTTCAGAATAAAGTCAAGAGCAATGCAATTTGTTTCAAAACACTTAATGTGGCAGGTAAAGGTGTGTGTTAGAACTGCAGTATGTTTCAGAATTTCAATCACACTGTAAGCCTTACTGATCCATTCCTACCCAGGAGTCTATCAGATGTGGCAATTCTGATATTTGAACATTTAACTTCTTTACATGTACATTTACTAGGCTTTCCAATGAGTTCACCAGCAATCTGGACCTTGAGCAAGCATGATGACAAGATCCACTATGCTGGAAGGTCCCATGGACCCTGATTTTGTTCAGGCTTGGATAGGAATCTAACACCTGTCAAGGTCTGTGTGCCTCATGATCCTCTGAGTCCTAATCCCAATGTCTATTTTTCCTTTGAAGGTAGCTTTCCTGGATGAGCATGCTTCTGCAGGTATTGACTGCATATCAGCTATAATATGCTCTGTTGCATGTACTTCCAGAAAAAACAAATTTAGAGACAGCAAGTGTGGAAAGTTTGTTGGATCTTTGGGACTTCCTTGTTAAATTAAAGGTTCAGGTATGTTGATGGACTTGTGAGGAGTTACAAGAACACAAAAATGCTCCAAAAAAGTCTACTAAACTCACAAGTAAAGCTTTCTAGCTTTTGAAGACACTCTGCACCTAAATAAAAACAATACAATTGCCACATATGGTTTTTAGTATCGACTCCAAGCAACCCAAAAATCAATTTCACAATAAGTTGATAGCAGGCTTTGCTAAGACAAAAAATTAAAAGTTTAATCAATCTTAGATTATCTAAAATATTTCTAAAAATTCTTTTGAAAGTTTAAACACCTCAAATGAGAACCAAAACAAAACCCACAAAATCTCCCTGAACTTGCATTCAGATTCAGGCTGACAGTATTTATCTTGCAAATATTATCTTACAATACTTTCTTTTCTGGGTCTGTGGCAAGGCACATGTGAGAATTGCATAGCATAGTGGTGCACAATCTAAATTGGCCAGTGGGTAATAAAGTAGAGGAAGTAGGGTACAACAGCAAAATTCTACTTTCGTTTCCTGTCAACCCCAGCTTTATTTTTAAAATTCATGTCAGTACGAGAAAGACAGCCTTGCATGCAACAAGTTTTTTGTGAACTGTGGTACCTTTATTTTCTAAGATGTAATTTGTTGGTAAAGTCTGTTAATTCCTTTTAAATTCCTGAGAAAGAATTAGTGACTCCTGTGCACTTGAATTGCATGTGCCTGAGCTTAATCGTTGTAAATGTCCTTGTCTACTTTTGTCTTCTGTGTCAGCTTAGGATAATAACCCTGGCTGTTACCAACAATCTGGATTCATAGATGTGCAATTCCCCAACTCACTCATGCAGATAATGTATTCACCCTATAACACTGTGTTTCAGTTTCAGGACAGTGATGGTTGGAGCGGAATAGTTGCCACAAGTAAAAGTAATGAACCATTTAGCAGTTATACTGCAGTCTGTTGTAAACTACCTGATGTGTCTTTCACTATCACTATCCATCTGTAGCAATAACCATGTAAGACAGTCTTTGAAACAGTGGCACAATGAAGTGACTATACCAGACATTAAAAATCTAGTTAAACTTATCATACCATTTCTGACATTAACCTCATTAATACAACTGTATCACATCTGATTTTTAAGGACAGAGTGTCTTTAGATGTTATAGTTCTTTGGTGCATATAGAATACAGCAGTGAAGAGAAAATAACATATTCTAGTTGTGATGAGGAATACAATAACCCATCACCATAGCAAAGAGCACATTTTATTTGAAAAATACGAATAAAAGATTTTGTCCCTTTTGTTTATTAAAAGAAAATGTAACAATTTCTATCAGTAACACTTGCATAAGGAGGTATACTTTACATAACTCTTTTGTTAAAAAAAATATATATATTTTTGGAGACTTTGGAAAAATAAGGATGGCCCAAAACTTGCAACACACTTCTAACGTTCCTTAGAATGCACTGTGCCATTTATATGTACTGCAAGTACAAGGTCTTAGCAGTTTATAATCCACAAAATAACCCTAGGCAGCATAATTTCATATTCTTCTTTGCATTTAGAATATTCCCTTTGTTACCCTTGTGTGAGTTTATGAGTTTGGTTAATTCCAGACTGGTCCAATACTTAGAATTTCTAAAAGTTGATTTTAAAAAGCCTGAGACCACATAAATTTTTTAATTCCTTTTAAATACCAGTGAGAATACTTTCATATAGATATTTTCTTTCAGTATTCACAATTTAAACAACTGCATCAATTAGAATTCAAACCCAAAAATGTTTGCAATTAGTTTGGTTTTCTAAGAAGAATGAAAAAATATAAAGTGCATAACAGAGTGAAATTACTTTCAACTTTTACAGTGTTCTATGTTTTGTAACAAAACACTGATAAACAAGTTAATTTGTTTTCAATGTATGAATCTTAATCTAATACCAGTTGAATTCAAGCTCTTCCTTGCATTTAAAGTGCATTAAACTACATTTTTGACAGATTTTAGTTTGACAATATAGTTACACATTTTAAAATTCTTATACTGACCAGTTTCTCAGATGACTTGTCAAGATTACAGCATAGAGTGCCCTCAGCATTACAAGAAAGAGGGTTTGTTTGGAGGAATACAATTACTTATTTTGGTGCAAATATTAGTTGAATAGATGTTGCAGAAATCAAATTGTAAATGGGAAAGCCCTTAAGTAACACTTTGCATTTGCCATTTAACTTTACTCAGTATCTTCCAGTTTAAGTAAAACTGGCAGTTTTCAGCATTTACTTGTTATGCAGCAGCAGAATTACTATTTAGGCAAATAGGAAAATATTTGAGAATATGAGTACACAAAAGAACCATGAAAGCTTTAGGCAAAGTCTATATAATCAAACTCAACCATAAGCCAGGAAAGTTTCCCACAATACTTCAACTGAATGTATACTTTTTTCAAATTAGCAATGCTATAAAATGATTGTGATGTCCATGGCAAAAAGTATAACCTTCTTGCACTTCAATCTAGGTTAACATAGACATTCTCAAATATGGTTTAAATTTTTTTCTAGGACACAAAGGACCAAAGGAAAATATTTTGGGATAGGGATAAAAAATGCGTAAACCTGTTCTTTCTGCACTGTGAGGCCTTTTTCTGTGGCCCTGAAGATTTAATATTCTGCTATTTGTCATGCAAACAACACGACACTGTGATGTGTATTTGAGTAAAAAACAGTAAGCATAGCAAGCATGCAGACATATCATGATAGAAAAGCACATTTGGAGATCACTGTGAATAGGACATAGAACACACTGCAGCATCACAGAAGCAGCGTCTCAATAACCCTGCAGAGATTAAAGGACTCAGAATTCCTGGGTCCGGGGGTATGATGCACATGCTGTATAGCAGCAAAGAGAGCACCTGGAATGGTGAAAGGGGGATTCTTATTTCTCTGAGATATTATAAACTTAAACAGAACATTAGCGCAAAGAGGGAATATTTGCTTAAGTCACTGCACTTCTGTTGCCTTTAAGCCTGAATGTTCTATGATGCAAATAAAAGAAAACAGTGGTGGGAACACTGCTTAAAACACAAAATACAATTGATTTTCCCTGCTTTGGTGTAGGGTCAGATGGAGCAGACATAAAGATAACTAATACCTGCTCTCAAAACTATAATACAACAATTAATGCAATTTTCGTGCAGATGTGGTACAAAGTATTATAGCCCATGGTAGTAGTAATGCTAAAAGATTTTCTTTTTAACACTCATACAATATAAAAATTTAGATGTTGGCATAAAGCAAGTGTGACCTAAATCAAAAGAAAACCTCCTATTAAAATCGAACACTATTAGTTTCTTCATTTGGGACAAAACTGAAACATATCCTAACTCTACCCGCAAAAAAGACAATATATAGGCCATTCTCAGCTTCTGTGTAACTCTTATTGCATTAAAACATCTGTTTAACCTCACTCTACAGCAATAATGTCTTTTTAAATGCATTTCTAGAAGATTCTGTATTTGGTAAAAAGTAAAAAAAATCTGAACACAAATTATTAGACTACTTTCAAATCATCAGCAGAACATTTACAGTTCACGGGTTTTCCCTCCTAAATTTTCTCATGGGTTTAAATGCTGAAAGAAAGGAAAATAATTTTCAAACAGAACAGTGTAGTAAAAGCCAGTTCTAGAACTACAGTACAACTAATACTTTTTAGAGTGTGGAAAATTTCTTGCAAAGCTACTGGCTAATTTTTCCAGAAGGCTGTTTAAGCCAAAAGCAGTCAACTACATCTCAGGAAGAAGTTCACTCAAAAAAAAAAAAATCCCCTCAAAGTAGAACTGATCAGAAGTTTCAGCCATATCCAGGACCTACGCAACCCTGGAGCAAAGAAAGGAAGGTTTAATAATCTGGTTCACTTGTGTGGCCCACAGAAGGTCATCAAAAACTGTAGACCTTGCTTTACTAAGCTGAATATAAGCGGCACCTAAAATGCAAAGGGGGGAATCTACTGGAGCATACAAGTCTGTATCACTCTGCACACCAGACCAGAGAGTAAAAAAACAGTACACAGTTTCTGCTCTGGACAGTTTTCCTATCAAATTCATACTGGAAGAAGTCCACTTCCCTAAGTGGAACTACAATTTTCTTAAAAGCAAAGGACTGTAATAGACTGTGAGCCTTATAAGTCATAATCTTTCATGCAATATTTTGAGTACCTGGTCCTCTCACAGTATTATCACAAGAAAGACAAACAAAAAGGTTAAAGTTTCAAATGAAACAAAGGAAAAATCAGAATCTGCTGGATGAGTTGTTAAGCAGCCCACAGTGTTAAGCAGAACTGTTTAGCAGATCTGTAATGTTACAAACATAAATAATCAACTTATTTAACCCATATGAACCACAATAATGATACATTTCCTCCACTGACTTAAAATGTACCTGTTCCCATGATGCTTGAAATAGGGGGAAAAAAGCTTGTTCTGCTTAGGTGGAAATTAAAAGAAAGAAATATTAGCAGATTGAACTAAAAAGAAAAAAACCAGCATCATCTTATTTTATTTGTTTCAATTTTCACTATCCCAGTGACCTAACAGCAGCTCAATTTTGCTTTTAGTCACACACAGAAATAGAAAGACATTATGATTAAGAACTCTCTGTTCTAAACTCAGTGTTGTAGCTCCTGGACTCAGACCAGCAAAAGACTTTAAAAGCTTCAGCTCTTAAGTGAAGCACAGTGAACCAAACAACTGCATAGTTTAATGGTGTTTTTGTCGAAAGAGCCTACACTTCATCTGCTTCGCTGCATAAAGACTACTTTGGGCCCATTCTACTTAAATGAATGATGTTTCCATGAAAAGATGAAAAGAAAAAGCACAACACTGTAAATAACAGTTCCTTCAGCACGCAGTAGTAACAGAGCAGGTCTGGGCTTAAAGCCGTGTTTGAGCTACAGCTAAGGATGCCCTCCATCTGTTAGCTGGTTATGGATGACAAGATTATGAAGGACATTATGAAATGACAGCTTCTCAATGCAACCTGCTAATTCAATAAGATTAAATCATCAAAGGACCATTTATTTAAGAGGACAGGTGTAGCTTATCACCTCTGTAAAGGAAACAGACTGGTAGCACTTCTCACACTGATAGTAAGCCCCCCTGGCTACCTCACATTGAGATCACAAGGCCTAGAGCACAGCTAGAAATGCAACATTACAACCACCTGCAAGAGATTAGCTCCTCCATTAGCTATCTTCTTAAACAGACATGACCATAAACTTACTGTAGCTTGGAGATGTTATGCATATTGAAATAAAAATGTCATTGCTTGGCTTTACTGTAGGTATTGTTGCAGATACGGTACCACAGACTTTATTGAGCAATTAAAAAAAAAAGTACACAAGGGACAATATATTCTTTTTTCTGTATTTTTCAAAATTTGATTTTCTTCCAATTGGAGAACCCAGTTTCAAATATGAAAAGGGCACTTGTTCTACAGGAACTGCACACAACTTAGTTCCAAGTACTGTATTCACTTTTTTTTGTTACCAGTGCTGTCATTATATGTCCAGTTGTTTAGGAACTTCTCTGTTTGGGAATTACAACTAAGTTGTTCTTTCTGATTCTATTTCCCCATAGAGTTCAGCTAGCTTCTTGAACTCAGGTCCCCACTCTCCAAGGTAATTATAATCCTGGTCAGAGTGTGTTGTGGTTGAATCCAGAGAGCTGATAGATCCAGCTTCTGATCTATGACCCTCATAGGCATATGTCTGCAGGGAGTCATACGGTGGCACACTGGGGTCCAGATCAGCCTCTGCCAGTCTTTGTTTAATGAACTCCTGAACATCTATACTGTCAAGGCTTGAGGAGAGATGATGTCTGGACACAGGCTTCACTTCAGGACGAACGTCCCTCCGGTACTTTAGCTCTTCAGCAGCAGATGGATTCCGCAGTGCGGTGATGTCGAATGCTTCTGTGTCTTCCTCTCCACCACCCTCATCATCATATGTCACAACATTTTCCCGGACGTCTTCTTCTGAGATGATCAAGGGCTCCTTCTTGCTACGTCTTAGGGTGATGAAAAGGACCACAATTGCTAAAGAGAAAACTGCAGATATTAGAGTAGGTTTAAAGTTTACCTCTGAATATGTTACAGAAATAGCAGACACTAAGTAAAAAATACAGATGTTTTATTTTCAGGCTAATATTGGTATTGAGATCATCTGCTACTTAGATTATCAGGGATCTCATAAATGGACATAAATGGAGATAACATTCAGGTAAATGAGAAATGAGTTACTAGCGCTGACATTTTTCAGAAGCATAGTCCAGGGCTTTCAGTGCTTCACTAAAACAAATATTTAGCATATCAATTGAGTTAATATGCAAAAGGTTTATTTTTTCTCTTATGAATATTTGATTTTGTATAATAAAATGCAAAATTATAAACTAAATATATTATTATATATTTTTAAAACAGCCTTCTGGCAAGGAAATTCTGAAGTAAGGTGCAAGGAAAGTAGTCTAGAAAATCTCTGAAAGAACATTTTGAAAAGAGTCTTTGGGAAAAAAAATCCTCTAAATCTCCTATGTGGGTCATACTGCAATTACCATAAGAATGTAGAAAGGCACATGAGTAGCACAGAGATACGTATGCAGCAAGTTTTGTCTATGACAGAAAAAAAACCAAAACAAATCAACCCCACACCCCTGCACTCCCCAATATTAACTAGTGGGTAAAATTCAAATTGGCCTGGGGAAAAAAACCAAACTAACAGTCAAGAGAAAATGCGCTTGGGATGGCATTTATTTTATGGGTCAGTTTATAGTCTCACATGTCCCTCACCCCTGTGGATTATGTTGTGCATTGCTATCAGTTTATCCCACAAAGGTAATTAAGATATGGCTTTTGTACAAGAGCTAATGGTGCTTCTTGCTGCGTAATGCATTTCAAAAAGCTTTCCTCATCTCTTTTCTATCATTTTTCATACTGTTCTAGACATGGAATTAGTCAGTTGCTTTTTGAAATATTTCCAAATTACAGAAAAAGATCTGCAGTGTTAATTACTTGATAACCTCTGAAAAATAATTTCTAGTGGATTTCAGATATTCCTGAATGTACTTTAAAGGCATTTTCCCCTATTAATTTTAGTTAAACCTTTTCCCCCCAATCACAGCTATGTGTTTCTAATTGTCTCCGACTACCAAGGCAGCCACCGGTTCAAAAGCATACCATATTAAAAATTTCTGCCCTGTTACATTTGGAGAGCCAGAGGAGGGAGAGCATTACTTAATACTGAAAATGGCTTACCGAGAAGAATTACAACACAGAGTAGGATTGCGATTAAAGCTCCCGTGCTTAAGCCAGCCGAGGAGAGGAAAGCTTCAGCATGGCAAGTTCTCACTCGTCCATCTCTCTCACACGCACAGACCCGAATGGTGAGGGTACTGCTGCTGCTGAGAGGGGGCACTCCACCATCAGAAATCAAAACTGGGAGGTAATAGGTGTCTTGAGTGGTTCGACTGTATCTCCTTCGTCTTGTCAGGATACTGGCTGTATTATCTACAATATAATTATAATCAGAATAACAGTTCAGTGAAGTAAAAAAATGAAAAAAAGTTATTGACTATTTGTTTCCCATCAAGTGAAAGCTTGGGGCATCTTAAAACTGGACAGTCCTAATGTGTGAAAATGCACAATCTAGAATTAAAATTTGTCAGGAAGCATCTATGGCCAACAGAGGAAAAAGAGGAGGCAGTGGAAAGTTATTAACATGATAAAAATAAAATTATTTAAAACTCTTGTACTTTTATTAGAATATAAATGAACTTTGACAAACATTTGGGGTCCTGTTTGCAAGCGTTTTAATACCATGTTATGCTGTTGGTAGGATATGGACAGTCGTCAATTTGAATATCTGGAATTCTGAGGATATTTGTTATGGAATTTTTCCACAACACAAAATTGTCTTTATCCTCAGAAAAATGTTAAAAGGTCTTTAGTAAAAACTAAAATAAGACTTTCATATTTTACTGTTTGTGACAGGTTTTAAAGTTCAAATGAGCTTTCAGAAAACATCAGAAAGACAGTGGTCAAAGACTCATGCTGTAGAGAGGTCAAGAGGAAGAGGGAAAGAGAGGGGGATGGAGGAAAGGAGGGTAAAGGAAGGCAAAGGAAGAGAAAAAGAGCAGATATTACATGTTCTACGCTAATGGAGGTTAAAGGTAAGTAAGCAAAAGGGAGATAGTGACATAAGATTTTGTCACCATTGTTAACTATAGGTCCATCTGGCACACATTACTGAAGGAGAACGTAATGTTTATTACGCACACGTTGCAATAGTATTTACAGGTACTAATGAGGATAGGAAGTTGCTGCACATATCCCTTTAAGTCCAAGAAATTAAGGGGCATAAGGAAAATGTGGGAGAAGAAATGCTACAATAATATTTATTTACATTATTTACATTATTTACAATACACGTTAAATTTATTTTCAATTTGTTGCCATCACTTTAAAAGTACTAGCCCCTGAATAAAAGTACAAGATAAATCAAGCAAAATTGGAGACAGTGAGGACCAGAGACATGAGCAGTTATGGAGAGAGAGAGACATAAGGGGTGACAAATGGAAAGAGAGATTAGAATAAAAGAGCTTTCCTCTTGTACTGCTTGTCCATGATTTCCAAATGGTGGGATTGTGAGCTTGGAATTTTTTAGCAAACAACAAAGGGATGATGAGTACAAAAAAACATCTGCCAGGTTTCTCTTCCTATTACAAACAAACAAGGTATTTTCTTCTTTTCCCTTACCACTCTAGCTACAGCATTGAATGGATTTATATAATCTATGGAAAAATGAAATCCGTGTTGCTTCATGAAAATTTAGCACAACAATACAACTAGCATGGCATATTTTAGCCCATCTGACAGATGTATGCATATTTGAATGGAGGAGTTAAACACTTTTGTTTAAACTGGATAAACGCTCTTTTTCAGGTGACTACTCTTCATGCCACACCTTCTGTCAAGCTCTGTGCAAAATTTTAAAGCTCTCAGTTTAACCCACTTCTGCCAACATTTTGGTTTGCATATCATCTGTCAGTGGTACTGAGAAAAACTGCTAGTATAGCCTCACATAACAGTAATATATATGGTAACAGGTTTCACACAAGAAATATATTTATGAGCTGGGAAGTGATATCCTTAGTGCCAGGCCAAGAACTGAGCACTCAAGTCCTTTACTTCTCCACAAGAACACCGCCCATACACCCCCATCTTCTTGGAAATATCCAGCATGGTGAGCTTGTTATAAATTCATTAAGTGTTGATGTTTTCACTTGAAGTGGGTGCAAAATAAAATTTATTTATTTATCTATTTATCTATTTATTTATTTATTTATTTATTTGCTGTAGGCCGTGAAACCCTATTCTACTTGTCTGGTATTTTTTTAAATAGAGAGTTGTAGAGATGATTCCTGTATACATATAGCATATGATATGCAGAATTATTCTTTTACTTTTATGAAAACTGTGTTAAACTTTGTCTTTTCTCCATATTGCTTAATCTGGTCTTGTGAAATCTTATAAAAGTATACTGTGGCATTCTCATTAATGCTGATTTTTTTCATTATCTTATGGTTAAGAAATAAATTATTTCCACATTATTCTGCAACTAGACTAGGGAGAAAACTATTTGGTGTCACAATTGAGTCAATTGATTGAAGAAATGAAGCCTGGTATCACTGAAATTCAAAATGCATTTATTGTATAAAGAAAATTCTTATTCCTATAATAGAATGAGCAGGGGCCTTAAGGCCATAATTATAGACCATCTTCACCCATGGAGGTCTTGCTAGACTCTGCCAGAGTAATGCTAAGATACAGGAAAAGTACGAAGTCCTATTTATCAAATTTTGACCAGCTCACTTTTTAATACATGTATGGTCTTCTACATTTAATTAAATACTGTACATGAACAACCTCAGGGATCTATTTAAAATACTTCTAGAACAAGCAAGTAATCTTATGGAACACAGATTATAAAGAGGTAGGTTGCCTGCATGTCTTTTAATTTTTCAACACACATATGGATATAATCAGCAGGTAAAGCAAGCAGTTGTTTTATCTTTCTCTTACACAATGTTGCATAAAAAAACCTTTTGTTTGTTTTTTTTCTTTTATAATATCTTGTCTATTCCTTCCACTCCAGTTTTTTTTTATGCTAGCTAGATTGTAAGCCCCAACTTCCCTAACACTGCTGGAGGACACGGATAAAAACTTCAGTGTTTCAAAGAGGGAAACCACCACACACTATAAGATGACCTTCACCTTGTCTGCTTGACAGCTGTCCAAGCAGTGGTAGATTGAGCTCTAGATACAGCCCAAGAGCAGAAATAAACTCACATATCTGTGATTAGTAGGGAATTTCAAATGTATGCATATTTTGCATAAAAAGGAGTTAATGTTTGCAATATATAAAAGGTGATGACTGCTGCTTCTACCTTTCTACATCAGAAAAAAGATTCATATCATCACATCCTCCATGTGCAAGAAAAACTTCACTGACTTTTTAGTTTTTCAGAATCCAATTTATAAATGCTTCCCTTCCTTGAAATGAAACTTATTAGCATTAGATTATTAGCACAGCTCTTCTCTAGCATTTCCCTTTTTATCTCCTGCAGTTGCTGGTTATTAAACCAAACAAGACTGGGGAGTGCTTATGATCCCTGGAACACTGACTGTTCACACTGATGAATTTTAGCACTCTCCCTGGTATTTTGTTGATCTGGGCCAACTAGGACACCCAACCACAGTCAGTGTTATTATCATACACCAGGGACCCTTCTCAGCAGGCAGTATGGGGAAGAGCCCACCAGGTTTGTTTCCTCCCACTTTTCACTGTGCCTTAACATTATTCCAACAGCCTGTGGATCCTTAAGCAACCCTAAATAGCCTCATGCTACATACACCACAACACACTGTGGTGTGTACATTTCTTTTGTGACATGATAACACTATGCTGTTAGGCTGCAATACAACTTTCACATTATTTCATAAAATAAAAAGAGAAAAAAACCTGTGATAATGAAATCTGGGCTCTATTAGATTCTACACAGGGTCCAGAGGAGACACAAGGCCAAGTGCTATGTATGTTGCCTGTTTTACTAAGCTTCTTTGCAAGATAACAGTCACAGTCCTTTTTAACATTGTGGGTTGTTCTTTCTTTTTTTCCTAAGCACCAATACTGTCACTTTAAACTACTGTGATTGGACCCCTAGAAATCCAACTGAAGTCATTACAGAAGTACAACATTCTAATATGTAGTTTTTAGCACATGTACTTATCAACAGAAAAAGAAAGCAATTTTAAAGAAGTGACAGTTCTAAGGAGAATCATATCTCAAGTTGCAACAAAAGAGAAGATGACAATCACACAACAAAGTTATCTGGAAATGCTTTAAAGACCTAGGGATATGTTCAAGGACTCAGCTTGAAATATAATTCCCTATTGGTAGTAAGTGACACTATATCCATGAGTTAAGCATTAATATTAACAAGTGTCATGTCTCTCACCACAAAAGAAGAGGTTCTTAGATCTTGTACTGGTAAATCCAAAAGGTGACAGAAAGTGTTATAACCCATAATAAGAACATCTATTCCTTTCTTCTTAAGGCTCTATTTCTGTTATTGTGCCTACAGGTCCCAAACACTTCAGTTCAGCTACCTTGTCCATATAAGAAGAAAATCCTAAAAAATTGTGTCCCTGTGAAAGCTCCTGGGCCAACATCCAAAAAAGGCCCAGTACTCATATCTGTGCAGGAAAGGACAGCCCCTTCCTTCTATCCTCTGACATAAATAGAAAAAAAGACTGAAAGACGAGATATCACCATACAACTACAGAAGCAGTGATGAAAGTGCTGTCTGATAACAAAAGCATCAGAGGCTGAATATAATGAAGAAAAACCTAGGATTCCTGAGCAGGAATCTTGCAGTAATGAAAGGATTTTAGCACAGAGACTATTGGCAAAGATGTAAAAGAAAGAGCATTGGGATATGAGCATGTATGCTATGAGGATAACTGTGGATAGATGGGGGGAAATTTGTGAGTGCAAAAAATAAAAGCTAAAAATAAAAAAAGGACAAAAATGACAAAATGGACAAAACATACAATTCAAATGTTACAGTAAAAAAAATCTGAAAAGAACCTATAATTAAACCATGTTTCTCTGGGGCGGAATGTCTTACCAAACAGGGAACTGTCATTTTTATACTGCATAGAATAAATACAAATTAAATAAAACCACATTTTTTCTTTCAAGGTTGTATTTGTTCTTTCCACATTAAATTGTTTTTCTTGTACTGTTAAAATCATGCAATTCAATATTAGTATAAGACACAATTTTAGGAAAAGGAGGAGCCAATATAAAATTTTTAATTTCAAAGAATTGTCATGGTCAACTTGTGTTGTTTGTATTCTCTTGAGGAATAACTAGATTTTTGTAGAAACAGATGTTACATGACATATAGCCATAAGTTTCTGTATAACATATCCAGTTATAAGCA